GGGGGGGGGCATTTACCAAGTGTTGATCTAAACCCCTAAAATGTCTAGAAATACTCTGACCACACCATAGGTCCAAACATATGCCTAGCAATACATTCTCAGGTCCCTGTACTCTACACAATGTACGATACACATGTTCCAATTATTTAAATGTGTCTTCAAAATGCAATGGTTCTGCTCTCAATATACAATAATCTCCTGTACACATTTGGGATATGTCATGACAAAAATTGAAGGCTCACAGTTACACATTATATTGGTTTCAGCCTTTAGGTATAAAAGATACTACCTATGTGTGTCCTTTGAAGATTACAGCGGAGTGATACATGAATTCAAAATTGGTCAATTTTACTATTTTACTGCTGTCCATTTCTTTTGACGTACAATTCTAAGGGTGTAGAGAAGATAATATATATCGGGTGCTAAGGGGTTATTTGTAATTGGATAAGATAGCTATGTATCACTCTTATAAAGAAGAGTTTACAATGTAGCTCTTCTTGACTACTGTATATAGTAGCAACATTTCATTGCAACTTAATTGGCTACATATTCACCCCATAACATGTGGGGGTTTATGTAGCTAATTAGTTAACTAATAATTTCCCCATACATACTGTATACAATGATATTTTCATAGCCATTTCAATGGCAACTAGTTGCTCTCCATATTATTAATCATGTACTGTATAGCTGTTGAGTTAGCTAACACAAAATTTGGTTATATATCCAAGGAACTTTTCATAGCCATTTCAATCGCTAACAAATACCTAACGGCTATCATTTTTCACTCATATATAGAAGAGTGGTCAATAGCTATCTTTACTGATATAGTATGTCCCATGCTGAGCTGCTGGATTTTGAAGGTGGTCCTCTTTGGAACACTCATATTGGATACAATCATACATATATCCCACATGACCCTCAGTGACCTTTAAAATCAATGGTATGGCAATCAGAGGACAACATTATACACTATGACATTAAAATCAAAAGCCTGTCAAATGTCATTTGATTTACCTGGACAATTTTGTTGTTGGCAAATGACACAACCTCATGGACAATAAGAATTATTGCAAAAGCTGACCCAGTAGTTCATTTACACTCCTTTAAATTTAAAGTGTTTATCTGTTATATACTTTACTAAGTGCATGCAAGAAATTTTGCTGTATTTTGTGTTGCATTTACTTTTTGTCATATTTCAACAAAATTAAAGTTAAACAGGGTGTGCAAAAAAGAGTCAATAATTATAATATGTTGGTTTGTGAGATTCAGAAATTTTACCCTTGTGCTTAGATTTTTGGGTCAGTATCTTGGTATAGTCTTAGTTTAACCAGAATTCTACACCCTTGGATTGAATATCCATATCCCACATGCCTACCTATGATACACTCTATCAATGAGTTTGATTTGTAAATAAAAATTGTCACCAGTCAACAATCAAATGTACAACCGGATTGATGCTGAGAACCATTGATGTACAACTGGATTGATGTTAAGAACCATTGATGTACAACTGAACTGATGTTCATAAATGTTCTTGTTATTACCTTGACTTTTTTGAAGTCATTGGAACAAAGACATTGAGAATCCAGCCTTTCATTTGATTTAATATGTTATTTTATGTTTGTAGGTATAGAAATAATGTGCCGTCATGTATGTTGAATGATATATTTGTTTTGTAGGGATACTATTATAGAGATCTGATTTGGGTGAGATTTGTCAAAGTTTCTGATGGCAGACAGAAGTGAGGGGCACTTAGTTGATATCCCAGCCAGTAGAGGGCAGCACTTTGCTGATACTGTGGCTGACAGGTGTTACCAACAGTACCAGCAACTACCAAAAGAGGGAAAACCCCAAAAGGGCAAGGAATGGGCCCTAATGGCAGCTGTTGTCATGACAACCAGCGGTAATACTGGTATGATTTGTGGCTAACCTGTACTTCCCTTTTGTATCAATATGTATATATCTGGAATTAACATGTGTCTTAATGGTATCAATGTATCTTTTCTTACCATCCTAACAAATTATTGATATAAAATATGAAAAATATGAAACATCCAATTTTCATAATGCCCAACTAAGTATTTTTTTGTAATTTCACAGTTTCAGACATGTTTTCCACAGAAATTTAAAAACATTCAAGTTGAGTGTAAATTTCTGTATAAAAAAATCATCATCTTATTCTATGAATCTTATTTTCATTTTTATAGCAAACAAACCCAGTGGAAACCATGCTATAGCGGATTGTGAGATCATTGATGTGGTTTCCATAGGAACAGGCTCCAGATGTATTGGGAAGTCATTTTTGACAGATAAAGGTAAGACAGTAATACCTACAATGATCAGCACACAGTGGTTTCTTGGATATTGTAAAAGGTCTTGTCTTACAAAACAGAAAATGATGTTATTATGCTTGCTCAGCTTCATGGTTACAGGGACATGTCACTTGCTATACATGGAGGATATAAATAAGTGGACATCACAGTGTATTTTAAGGTACTAAAGAAAACCACTGCTTCAGTTTTAATTGCAAAGAGTCCACTTAAGAATATTTTTGACTTGAAGTATTCGTCCTTCTGTATAGAGTATATACCTTTCAATGTAAAGACTTTTGGGCCCATAAATTGAGCTGATTTTGGTAGGTTTATTTATAGTTCCTTGATAGCTGCAGCATTGGAAAAACAAGGATTGGTAATGTAAAGGTTCCACGTTCAATCCATGCTGTTTTTTCTGTTTCATTTTATTTTATTGTCAAACTTTCATATTTCAAACAAATATAGTTGTGTAAAATGCACAGCAACATGTGCTTTTTTGCAAAAAAAATAAAAAAAAGTATTTTACAATAGTGACAGTCGTAATAATAATCTTTATCCTGTTTGTATCCTTTACCCACTTGATATCAGTAGATAGAAATACATCAGCTTCTCTTATAAGATATTACTCATCCAGAATGACTGAAGTTACTCTCAATTAAATTTGATAAACATTACGGCAACAAATATATTAATAATACAAACTTTATTACTTTTACAACACTTTTACAACAATTATGAAACAAATTATTACAACCTATATTAATTACCCTTGTTGGCCTGGATATTAGTGCGTGCAGGATCTTAATGTGGGAGGAAACCAGAGTACCCAGAGAAAACCCACGTGGTTGGGCAGGTGACCCAAACCCCCATACATTGTTGATAAACATTAATGGACCTTTGGGATTCATTGTATAATTGAAAGGTGCTACACCAAAGGGGATGGGGATGATCTGATAGGGTCAGTAATAAATCCAAGATGATAACCATAGTCACAAATTGTTAAATCTTTTCTAGCTCAGATAATAAATACATAGTAAAAGCAATATGTACTGCAGGCCCCATTGGTCTCTTGTTTATCATTTTACATCAAAAATTGACTTATGTTGCCACTTGTTTTGGTGTTGTGTATTTGTGTCACTCTGTTTGTTTATTGTTTATTTACAGGTGATATCATCAATGATAGTCATGCAGAAGTGTTGGCCAGAAGAGCTTTTATAAGGTAAGACACCTAATGTTGAATATGTAATAGAAAAAGACATCATGTCATATTGAGATTTGTTTCTGAAAAGCCCTTTAAGTATTGACCATTAGTTAGAGTGAACTAGATAAAAGTATGAGAGTAGTAAAAATTGATATATCATTACAACATCAACACAAAATACCTTCAGGTAATAATAATACTATGTTTGCCTTTCACATATTAAATCTATTATATAAAACTCTGAATTGTTTAAACATGGATAAAAATTAGTAGTTCTGGGGACTGTTTTTTTTACTAAAATTGAGTGATTTTAAAAAAATCACCTACTTTTCCCCCATTAACAACAGTGTATTTGATAGAAAATTGTCATTACTTTTTTGAACGATTTCATTGCTTTCCAGTTACCTGTATGACCAGCTGACTCTTGTTTACACAGACCAGGAGAGCAAAGTGTTAGAAGTCACCGAAAACTGCAGAGTCAAGGTCAAGGCTGGGGTCCATTTCCATTTCTTCTCCAGTCACACACCCTGTATGTATAACTTACCCAGTTACCCACTCTGTATGTATAACTTACCCAGTTACCCACCCTGTATGTATAACTAACCCAGTCACCAACCCTGTATGTATAACTTACCCTGTTACCCTACCTGTATGTATAACTTACTCAGTCACACCCCCTGTATGTATACCTTTCCCAGTTACCCACCCTGTATGTATAACTTACTCAGTCACACACCCTATATGTATAACTTACCCAGTCACCCACCCTGTATGTATAACTTACCCAGTTACCCTACCTGTATGTATAACTTACCCAGTCACACACCCTATATGTATAACTTACCCAGTCACACACCCTGTATGTATAACTTACCCAGTCACACACCCTGTATGTATAACTTACTCAGTCACACACCCTGTATGTATAACTTACCCAGTTACCCTCCCTGTATGTATAATTTACCCAGACACACACCCTGTATATATAACTTACCCAGTTACCCACCCTGTATGTATAACTTACCCAGTTACCCTCCCTGTATGTATAATTTACCCAGACACACACCCTGTATGTATAACTTACCCAGTTACCCACCCTGTATGTATAACTTACCCAGTTACGCACCCTATTAATACACTTTGTTGGTAACTTCATATTCTAGGAATATGTGTGTTTGAGAAAAATCAAGGTGAAAGCAATGTTTTAGTCTTTTTAGCGCACCATCATCTGATAGTGGGCTATTCAAATAGCCCTGCGTCTGTGGTCTGTCGTCCGTTCTTAAACAATTCTTGTTATCACTATTTCTCAGGAAGTACCAGAGGGATCTTTCTCAAATTGAGTATGTAGGTTTGAGTTTCCCATGGGCCCTTGTTGTGCATATTTATATTTGAGACTGATCAGATAAACAAAATGGCCAACAGGCAGACATTTTGGATTGTGACATTAAGGGGTTGTTATTGCTATTTCTCAGGAAGTACTGGACTGATCTTTCTTAACTTTCATATGTAGGTTTGTAATCGCTGTTTCTCAATAAGGACTGGAGAGATCTTTCTCAAATTTGACATTTAGGTTCCCCTTGGTCTGTAGTTGTGCATGATTTCTCATGAGACTGATCGGATAAACAGATCTTTGATTTTGACAGTTAAGGTTTGTTAGTGCTTTTTCCCATGAAGTACTGGGGGGTTATTTCCCTAATTTTATTTGCAGGTTCCCAACAGTCCTTTATTGCTCATGTTTACTTTTGAGACTGATCGGATTAACAAAAGGGTCGACCTGCGGCCACCTTCGATTTTTGACTTTGAAGGTTTGTTAGTACTATTTCTCAGGAATATCGAGGGATCATTCTAAAATTTGATATATAGGTTCCCCTTGATCCCTAGTTGTGCATGTTATATTTTGAGACTGATCATAAAACCAAAATTGCCGAAGGAAGAACTAAACAGAACTTTCTCATATTGCAATGATCGGTTCTATTTCTTTCACATTAAGTACTGTACTATATTAAATATGTGTAATGACAAACTCACTTTGAAGGTTGTCTGTTATACACAGCAGTATTAACTTTTGATCAAATGTTACCTCAAGGTGCATTTACTGTTAACATGACTCGATCAAATAGATAACTAATGAAGATGGTACAATGGTGGGTACCAAGATCCCTCTGGGATCTCTTGTTTCATGTTGATAAATATTCAACGAAATTAAAGAGAGATTCTCTTCTGTTTACAGGTGGTGATGCCTCTATATTTCCTATAGCGGAGGATGCTATGGATAATACTGGCTTCAAGGTAGAAAACCACAACACATCTCCATGTCAACAGACCCAACAAGATGGAAGTCATGTTGGGACAGGAGGTAAAAGTCATGAGGAAAATATATTTATGAACAGTTTTCAAAAGTCTGAGTTGTCAATATCAGGTTCTAGAATTCAGAATTTGGTAGCAAAAAGGAAATCATGTTACTGCAGTGAGGAAGAAATACAAGCTAAAAAGTCAAGGTCAGTTATTGATGAGACTGACAAAGGTCAAGGTGATGAGGCCAGAAAGTTAACAGAAGATTTGCACGAACCAAAAAATTGTAACATAAGGGAAGATCGAAATCCTGGTAATTTACAAACTCAGATGAACCAAGAATTTGCTGTGCAAAGTGAGAGAGACATTGAGTCTGCTGTGCACCCACCACCTGAAGGGGACATCTACAGGACAGGGGCCAAGTGTGTACCTGGGGGTGAGCAGGACAGCTTTATGGCAGGTCAGGATTACCACACAGTTGGACTGCTGAGGACCAAGCCTGGCCGAGGGGATAGGACTCTCTCCCTGTCTTGTAGTGACAAACTTGCTCGCTGGAATGTTGTTGGCTGTCAGGGGGCATTACTCTCCAACTTCCTGTCACAACCAATCTACTTTGATACGATTGTTATTGGAAGGTTGGTTCTTCTTATGTTTTCAAATTATACTGAATGAAATGCAGTTCACTTGATATTCATTATACAGTACTAGTGTTGGTTTCAGATATTCATAACTGGCAGCTAAATGGAATTCATTTGGGGGGAAAAAATCTTACAAAGCTTGATTAAAGTTGCCATCAACTGTTTTAATGGAAAAACAAGTTCAGCATATTAAGCATTTAATATAGAAGTTCATCTGTTTGACTTGTAGCTGTCCCTACAGCCATGATGCCCTGGATAGAGCGGTGATACAGAGAAGTCGAGGTGTGGGTCCTCTTCCTCCTGGATATCGTCATGGCAACCCACAGCTTCTCCAGTCCTCTCGACTTTTCCCAGACTCGCGCACTTCAATAGAAAAAAATTTTCATGATTCTTTGACACCTTGCCCCAGGTGTAAGTATAACCTTGGGCAAGGTCATATGCCAGTACACACAAAATATCATTGTTAAATCGTGTATTAATGGGGTCAATGTTGGATAGAAAATTCTTTGAAGTCATAGGAAAAAAAATCATTTGTAATAGTTTTTTGTGGGATAAAAACTGCATTTGGAAATTATTTAATTATTTAAACTATTTAATTCCATAAAGCGGGCCGGTACACTATAATGTGTAACATTCTTGTTCTGATAGAGTTGGAATATTTTTTCTATATACTTCAATTATGTGTCATTTTCCTTGTATATTTTGGAGGTTTTGTTTTTTCAAACTTGAACAAGGCATTTCTCTTCCTTGGACATAGAATTTGATTTGTTACCTTTCAGCTATCACATGGCACTGTAGACTGGTGGAGAACTTCCATCAAGTAGTGGTCAACGGCAGACGGCTTGGGGCTACCAAAAAGATGAGACATGTGCCAAAAGTCCGGTAGGTTATACATATCAACACAGATGCAGGGGGTTTAGCCTCTTAGACACTGGCATCCTTACACAGATTCCCGTATCTATGAACATTTCCTTAGCAACAAATTCCCTTCCTGTAATAAAGCATTAATCTGGATTCTGTTCTTCAATTCCAGGTTATCTTTCAGAAGATGATTTTACTGAAACAATAAGATTTTGATACCAAAATGATGTGTTTCATATGTATACTGCACTTTTGGTTTCGTAAAGAGGTACACAGAAGGTGATTATAAGTAATTACATCGATTTGTTTGTAAAATTTACTTTTTATACAAGACTCTTTGATTCTTCAAAACTGGTTGCTTTAAGCTATAGGAATAACACTGTGGTTTTCTTCTTCAGATGTTAAAGTTGATATTTCTCTTTCAGGAGTAAAGTGTGCAGTATGGAGTTGTTTCGCCGATATATACATATGCTGGAGGTCATTCCCAAGGATAAACTTCCTCTCATCCTCAGGTCAGCTATTTCTTATACAATCTCAGTACGAAAGATTTAATTAAGTGTAACAGAGGTCATTATTTTTTGAATGCCTTGATCTGCTAGGATTTGAACCCTGGACCCCTGGTTCACTAGTCTTACGTCTACCGAATCGGCTGAAGAGAAATTCTACAAAGCCACGTCTGTAGTAAACAGCTGTTATTTTGTACCAGGGTGACTCTGAGCACTCTACCAGTATAAAATGTTTTAATATTTGTATTTTTGTGTTTCCTGGCACAGACTGCCTGTGAATTTAGGCAATGTGAAATAAGTCAAAATCTTTCAACAAAGATTTTAAACACGAAGAGTAATATTTGGTCATAAGTGTAATCCTGCTATGTGGAAGCTCCAGGTTTGTATTGTTTGTTTCCATTGTCTTCCTCAGGTCGTCAAGGCAGCCAGCTGATGTGATGTATGCAGAGTACAAATCCATGGCAACAGAATACCAGACAGCATGGGAATGTTTAAAGAAACAAGAAATATTCAAATCCTGGGTCCATAAGCCTCATGGGCTGACATCTTTTTTACTGGATAATAAATAACTATTTGTGTCTTAATATTTCTTCAGTGTTACACTTTCTTCAGCAAGACATTTTGGTAAAAAGGTGTAAAATTATGTATATACTAGATATTCAATTTAAATTGCAACTAAGCACTGAAGCAGCACATCAAATATGATATTCCGTCTTTGCGTATTGCAGAGTTATCTTCTCTTGTGAGCAGGTATTGATTGTTACGTCATTGGTTTGTGAGATTAACGTCATCAATTTTTGAGAAAACAACGTAATTTGCTCACACAAACCAATGACGTAACAATCAATACCTGCTCACAAGAGAAGATAACTCTTCAATACACAAAGACGGAATAGACTTTGGTTGAAACATCAAATATGATGTAGACTTTGGTTGAAACATCAAATATGATGTAGACATGGTTGACACATCAAATATGATGTAGACTTGGTTGAAATATCAAATATGATGTAGACTTTGGTTGAAACATCAAATATGATGTAGACTTTGGTTGAAACTGGCCAATATCACGTTTCCAGTTTTCATCATCACAAAATTATTGTTCTCTAGTCTTGGCTATAAGCTGGATCTGGACATCAAATGTGATGTAAATTGGTTGTCTGGTTGTCACACTTCTGTGTGTTGATGAGTTTTTTTTTTTTGATTTAGCAGCATTGAGTAGCATTCACATTAGCAGCATTGAGTAGCATTACCACAAAGTGAATAAGCAAAACAAAACAACTTGATCCTTTTATACAAATCCTTTAATGTTTCTAAGTTTCTGTTCAAGAAAAAATCAGTACACAAAATATGGCAGGAATTTGCAATAGTTATATAAAACATAATTTTAGTGGAATAGACATCTGTTCACACTTTGTGAGAGACAATCCGGTTTAATGAATGGCAAAATTTACACAATCATGTGACCATGACACTGCATGGTCGCTGAGTCGGCATGGTAACATACACAATGGATAACAAATAAAAGTGACTAGTTTGTGAGGACCACAACACAGAAGCATGGTTAGAGTGAGGAGGTTAAAGGTCAAACAGGAGACAAATCGCTGCCATCCCCACAGAGTGTATCATTGACAATAACTGAAAGGAGCTGCTATGCAGTCTATACAAATGAACGAAACCTGGCAGTACCTAGAGGCATGACTGAGGTTAGAATACTAATACAGCCATACATACCCGCTAGAGGGCAAGTCAACACACAAACCTGGTGGTACAGCCTTGTAATACTGATAGGGCAGATTACCTGCCTTTGACACTCGAGTGCAACTGACATAACGATAAAAGAAGGGTTATACTTTGGCCATGAAATCAACTTAACCACCTAAATTCAACCAATTTCTTTCAAAGAAAATACAAATTTAAAACAACTTCTCAGAAAAAACATTACCTCAACTATAATGAACACAACTTCACTCTTATAAAATGTTAAAACAATTGATCATGGTGTCAAAAAACTCAGCAGTTTGATCAGAAACCATTAAAAAGGTTGACAGGATAAAACTTGTTAATAAATAAATTAGGCAGGAAATATACAGTACTTCATTTACAAATACACATGTAGGCATACTAGCTGACAGGATTGATTGACAGACAGGCGTCCGAGGTCTTACAATATCACTTGGGTTCCATGTACAATAGATTGAGATTCCAAGAATATCACGACAACATGAAAGCCACTGTACAGACAGTTTATGTACAAGTAGGGGACTGTATAAAAAGGGTTCTGTAAAACTAGATCAATCACAGATAAAACAGTTCATTGTTCTGGGAAACGTTTATCACATGGTGTGGGAAACGTTTATCACATGGTGTAACATTTATCTATTAAGATAGAAAATATTATGATCATCTACAGCACTTTCAGATATATAGAAACTTTAACAAAAAATATAATATTTTAAAGACTTGTTCTTTTTTACATCAAGACATGTTCATACATTAGCCAGTTTAAAAAAAGGACTTCAATGCAAATTTATAAAATAAATTTCCGTATCAACAACCATTTTGTGAATTTGTTGCAGAAACAACCTAGCAGAAAATTTGTTATCGTAAAAACCATTAGCTGTTAATAGCAGGTTATATTGGAGTAGCGTATCTATTAGAATTCTGCTGAATAATTTCAGTAGACTTGTTAAATGCTTTTTACTTGTGACAAAGATTATAAATACGTTAAATTACACACGCATAAAATTTTGATACAGAATGATTACATGGGAAGTTGGACTAATACAGCAGTAGTTAAATCATGTTGGTTGATACAATAATAAATAACCACACCAAATCTGCATCAAAATCTTGACACCAATTAAATACTTCACAATTCAACATCATTGTGTTAATATTTAAATGGTAAACCCCCGTCTCATTTACCACTCAACAGATTATAGATATACAATTATTTGGTTTAGCTCTTCATTTATTGTAATACAGCTATATACATCAAATGTATTTGGTCACTCACAAATAAACATTATATTATAATATTACACTTTTCCTCTTTGTTACAATACAAAAATCAGTCTTGTTTTTGTTGTCATTTTTTCTTCAATGCTGTTTCTATGAACATAGATTATGGAACAAATTTTGGTGAATACTTCATTCTTCCAATAATCAAATGAGATATTTTGTTTTACCGATATATTTATACAATATCAATTTGGATGAATATTTCATTTTTCTTCCATATAAATAAAGAGAGGATTGTTTTTCTTAACAATTATGTCATCAATCTTGGTGAATATTATCTTCTACATGGACAAGATTTTTTTCCCACACATTACATAACATTTCATCAATACATGTATTTCATTTCTGTGTTAAAAATGAATAACACACTTTTTCACATGGTCTGTATATTTGTGTCCCTAGTAGCTTTTGGTGTATATTTCGGTTTTCACTGAACATGAAGACAATAAAATAACGCCCCACACTGTTATACAAAGTAGTCACACAGATCTAGCACTCAGCATCTGACAGAAACAGCTATTTAATCTAACACATCAACAAGACTTGTCTCGGCATACGGAAGGTTTTAAATGGTTGACTAGAAGGCAGCATAATAACAGCATACATATGGATAATGTGTTTATAAAACGCTGATGGATTTGTCTAAGATACACAAATATGTACATAATATATATTATATATATAAGTATATACTTATACACACTTTAAAATATTGAACGTTTCCCTGAAGTAAATAATTTCTGAATATGGTATTATATTTGAATGAGAATGCTTTCCGTAACTTTCTCTATTTTGCTTCTAACTATCAGAACTTTTATTGATATTCTAATAAACCATAAAATAGTGCAAGAAATGAATCCCAGGAGTTAACGCAAAAAGGAAGATAAAAGTATTGCTTTGATTCTGTTTCTCATCATCACTACAGTTAAAACAATGAGACAGATAGCTCAAAATACACACTGAAAAAGGCAAGCTTGTGTATTTGATAAAACAAAATAATATAAATAATGCTCAAACTATAGATATTACACATCACTACAGGAGAACCTGCCCCAGTATTAACAATTAATCTCATATCACTAAATGACGGTACAAGATGATGAATGATGAATCCCCAGACTCCAGTCGATGGCCGATGATGTGGATGTAGGGAGTCGTAATGCAAAATATTGGTTGTTTGAAAGACTTGAGAGCACATAAATGAATGAATATTGAATTAATCACATATGAATTGTTTGCATGACGAATACACATTGCAGTATATACACGAGGCCGTGCAGACAGATAATCTCCAGCTCGAGCCACTTTTCCTTGTCCGATGGCCTGAAGGTGAACAGCCAACAGCGCTCCACAAGATGACAACAGGAATAGAAACCATTTTATATTCATTGATTTGATGATAAACGTGAGAACAGATTTCTGATAAATGGACCACATCTCCCCCACTGGTTCAGGCATGGCAAGAGTAAAAACCACGACTTGATCTGGTCCAGGATCGAATGTATCAATTTCCAAGGTTCCATGTTGTGATAATAATTAATTAGTTCTAAACGGCATCAGAATATGCAGCCACTGTTTCCCATTCCTCTGCTGTGAGCCCACTCTTCAGCGTCCGTCTCACTGAAAAAGGATGAACAGAAGTTAGTAATATATCTCTGGGTCATATGCACCACCCCTATCCTGTATCATTTAACAGTGCTGTACAAAGGGCGACAAACAAGTTAAAAAGGCAACAGATACAGTACACAAAGTACGAGACTCGCAAGACAAGACGTTGCCATGACATTCTACTCTATAGATCATAACATATCTTACATGTTGTTACATACCACCCTCACAGACACAGTAATCCTCCATAACAACCCTTCATAAATCAGCATAACCCAACAAGAAACTTCAAAGCAATACAACCAATAGATTTGTGCTTTGCTGTTTTCTTATAAGACATGTCACATTATTTAACACAATTACCATTTTTGTAAATAAACGAAAAACTTTTTTTTTTGGAAGAACAATATACAATATACAAGGAGACCTATATTGATTGGTACAGTACTGTGAAGATGGTTTTATAAATATACACTCCTTATTTTCTACTATTTTACAAAGGATATATCATGATACTGCTAAATCATTCAGTAAAGGGAGACTACTTGGTATCTATTTTGCATACATTCAGTGAAAACAGGTAAAAATATTTACCTATAGATATATATGGAAATATGTTTATCAGGTGATCAAAAATAAACTATTAAATAGGTGTGGTATACCACAAATATATCATCAAGTCATCACATGTCAAAATATTCTCAAGTCAATTTATAACATCTAGCTATGATAAAAAAAGGAAACATTCCATGCTACAACCTACTCAAACAAGGGGACAGCACTCTAAAATTACAACTAGAATTTGTTTCAAAATCTGTAATGCAATGATAAGGGTAACTTCTACACTGCTAGAGCATGGCCTGTTTATATAGCTAGACTACCAAGTACATATGTCAATCTTCACAATATCAAAATAATAATTCTTAGTCACACACAAAAATCTCGCTTGAATCCAAATTAAAAAGAACATTTTAACTTGTGCAGTCTGGCATTCCAACAAGCTCTTTAAGATATGTTTGTGATATTTAACACAGAAAATTACAACTTCAATTTCCCATTGCTATAGGGATAAATCATGTACTTGTGTTGACATAACATTTTGTAAATAATTAAGACTTTGGTATTGTGAAGATTTACATAAAGCAATGATCTACAATGAAATTAACTTTGAATTAAACTTGGACTTATTATTTGCCATTTAACTTGTATACTAGACAATAAAAAGAAATCCACAGTCTACAACAACAAAGCAACATAGGAGAAGTAGTTAACATCTTTTTAACAAACTTTTCTTGAACATTTTCAGTGTGAAATTACAACAATCACTTAAAATGCAGCTATATTGTAATATACCGGTACACAAGCCCTACAAAACAAACCATGCTCAAGAAAATCAACTTAAAATTCAACATAACTCTTGGAAACTTAAATAATAAAATCCCATTCACTTGCATTCTCAAACTGTCATGCCAGCATGTACATAACATGTAAAACAATGGTTAGCTGTGGTGGTTGTTTTCTATCTTGTAATTTGTCTGATCACGTAACTAACGAACAATTTACCGTAAATGTTTTAAAAACGTACACATGACAACTGTTAGACTTCTGTCTTTGTGTGAAATGTGAGTAATTTCTTGAAAAATGTGGAACAACTCCCTTGAAGAGTGTGTGAAATAAGATAAAAAAAATTGTGTGGTGTCCTTGCAAAATAAATTGTGAAGTCTGATGGTTTGGTGATAGAATAAACTGAGATCCATAATTCCAAAACTAAACAAATGACTAACAGTAACAATTAATTACTTTGGCCATCATATAGGAAGATAAGGATAGTGACCTACAAAAACCATGCCTGATTGTGTATTTATCAAAATATAACCAAAGATTTAGGTGCCATATATACTGATAACAGTTCTTTACGTTGACTACAAGAGACGAGGAGTGTTGGTATTTACAGAATTCAGAAACCATTCATGTATTGTACATTGACTGTTACAATAGTGACATAAAACTCCATTCTCACTGTTTTCTGAGTCAAATTTGTGAAATGTTAGAAATATATGCCTTTGGGTTCTGAGATAATCTCTGGAAACGAAAGTATTGATGGACAGGCAAACAGGCTCAATGATTAATAGAGGGCACCTGCATCTCTGATGTAGCCCTGATAAAATGTTCACAATTGCTTAATGTACTGATTTTTTAAGACAACTTGAAACCTTGGATATGGGACAAAATAATTCAAATAAAAGGATGATGGTTAACCCCAACACAACCAAACTGGGTGAAAAGTACCATCAATTCATTCCTATCAACAAAAAGGGAACATTGATGAAAATGTAATTCAGGAAAACTCTGTGACAATTTATGGGAAAAGGGGGAGTAGCTATATAGTCAATTTGTATTCACAACACACAAAAAATTGTCCTGGGGAGGTCATATCACAGGGTGTAATACAGGGGAAATAACTCTACCATTCACAAGTTGAGCTTTAGCATTTACTTACTGGCTAGTGTGCGATTACCTATGTTCTATGTTTTTGGACTTTACTTTAGCTGAATCAAAACAAAATAAATTATTAAATGTAACCTCCTTAATTTTCCAATTATTTCAAATCTGTCTTTACCTTGAAGTAATAACATCTCTGTAAGCAGGTGAAACATTGTTCCTGTGAAACTACCAAAGAAAAATCAAATCATGCAAGAAAAAAAAAGGAAATAAGGGTGGTGATTTAAATAATGAATTTCAGGATAACGATATTAGTTTCCATTTCTATGGCTTGCCCTACATTTATACAATATAGCTGTAAGTTTGCTCCCATTGAAAACTTTAAACAGTGGTGTCCAATGCAAGAGCGAAAAGTTATCAAAGGATGGAAGATTGTCGAGGAGGTGGACACGGTAAAATACATGTCTAGCCCTTATGACTATTGGAAGGATATGGCCTTGCCCAGATTAAAAGCAACAGATACTACTTGCATAAAGGTTATTTCCGACACAGGTGCTCTGACACTGAGACAAGTACATGATAAATGTACTGTGCCTTTGGACAGGTATGCCCTACCATTCTGTTGGCTGGGATAGCAATGAACTGTGCATCTAATGTTAGTAAACGCTATTAAGTACACGCTCGAATACGAACATTACTCAACATAGAAATACGAAATATCTAAAAATGCAAAAAACTGAATAGAAACAAATAATTAAAAGGCTCTCCGAGCGACAAACACAATTGACAGAACAGTGTTACAGAGAACTGCGAGTACTGATACACAGTGTACAAGGTGAATGCTGCGACAACCAACACACAATTGTTTACCTATCAATAATGATCAGTGTCACTATCCCAAAATGCTGAAACAGATGCCAAACCAAGTGATTAATAAACGGAAAATTGGCAGCACTATTCGCTACAGCGGTTTACCTATCGGGACTGTGATACAATATGTCGTCCATAACATACTGGTGTAGATTCTCATCACTACAACCATTAACATACTAGACTGTGATACAATACGTGGTCTATAACATACTGGTGTAGATTCTCCAAAAATGTGGTCTTTAGAATACTGATGTAGGTTATACGTGTGACACAATGTCCGGTGGACTGTGACAAACTTGTGTTTATTCTTCGGGATATAGGGAATTTCAATAGTGATAATCTGAAATATGCTTTTTGCAGTGAAACTTAAGAAGCCAAGAGGTGCAATAAAGAAATCGATTCTTGTATAAGATTTTCACTAAAATTTAAATCAATAAGAAAATTTTGAACATCCATTGACTTAGAGGCAATCTCTCTGTCAGAAAAGATTTCTTTACCATGGAAAAAGAGAAAAGAGATTATTTTATCAATAGATAAACCTAGTAATGGGAGGTGAGCGGGGTAACAACCACACCGAATACAGTCAAACTAACAGTAGTAATGAACAAACACAATCATTGGAAAATTAAACATGGAGGGGTAAACAGAACAGTACTATTTAATCCTCAAATAAAGGAAGGGGTTACTTAGAGGTATTTTAACTTGTTAAAGGTGATTGAAAGGAGGGGGAGAAGGGGGAGACACCTGTAAAACAATTCATTAATAGCATATATAACATGTCATTATGTCCCAGGCTGTTAGACAAAATGAGCTGTATTGTATATGAAGGACTTATCATCCTTTATATATCAAAATATCTCGGGAACTCTTGTTATCTTCTCTGTGAGAAAAGGAATAAAAACAAAATGTTTTACCATCAGCTTTGTCTTAATTTCATCAGATTTATCACAAGTAGTTCTTACACCCACATTCCCCTTACAACCAGCAGGCACCACAACATACAAACTACCAGCTGACGGTATAACATTCATCAATCTTAGTCAATAAGATGCTTGAATCCGTAACCAATTTGACCATGCAACATATTTTTTACATAATCTCGCCTGTCATCACAATCATCCCCTTCACCTTCATTTTTTCCTTCAACCATTTAGAAAAAAATCAAATTGTACTACCTTTTCAATTATTTACTAAAAGCCCTAAAATTAAAATACATAGTGACAGGATGATTGTGAAACTGTTTTATGTTAAAGCTGAGAAGATTTGTATTTCCAATGCTGAAAAATCACAGAAACCATTAAACCAAAATGCAACACTTAACAGGAAGAAAATTTGGAATTCAAATCATTAATTTGATTTTTATATTTAATATACAAGTTGCCTTAGTGAGATGGTCAGTATATTAATCTAATATAAAATTTTGAAAAGGTCAAATATTACACCACAAAATTTGAAAATGTTGCATATTGTTCGATTAGTACATAACCAATAGTAATCATAGTAATTAATGTTGATTGAATGCATACACGTAGTATAATAGCATTTGTAATTAATTAAAAGCACTGCAAACAGGTACATAACTGGCCAAACATAATGGCCGGGCAAAGGTAGCTAGGGGCGATCAGACAATATTATAATTGTTTTTACCAGAAGTTTACCTGTCTGCAACCACGTGTAAACTTAATATCTCGTGTCTATTCTTGGTGTCACTGGAATTATGGGCAAAAACATGTCATCTTTTCATCAATAAACAGGCACCCAGTTTGACTTGTTGTCTCAGCCATGAAACGGCTATATCATATCATGCATAACTATCTGTGAAATTATTTCTTTCAACTAATACACTTATAATTATCTGTATATCAAAGACTGTTACTGTCTGCAAATCTATTATATTTAGCAAAACTGCTTTTATTTGTCAATATAAGAAGTTTTGGAAACATGGATATAGAATTTAGGCTGGAAACATGGATATAGAATTAAGGAGTACAAATTTTACAATAAAAATCGCTACGAGAAAATTGGCAAAGATCTTATATAAAATAATACATATTCTGTTTCATTTCTCAATTGCTTTGTTTGGTTTTTGTATTGTTTTAAGTCCAATTGTCAATTTAAGATATTTAGAGCCAAACTTTGAAGAACAGCAGTAATTTTGCTAAATATAACAGATTTACAGTATACATCAATGTTATTAGTGACAGATATCAGACATATTTCTTTTTAGGATATTTTCTGGACTGACAAAACTTACAACACAATATCTACTATCAAAATGAGTGTGAATCAGACTCTTGATATACCTACATGATTTACGATGTTTACTGGACCGCTTTCGTTCCCTATTGGGCCTACTGGAGGGTGCTGCTGCTGTTCGCACACATGCCTCCAGAATCTCATCATCTCCCGTGTCATACATTTCAGAGTCTGTTGTCACACAGCCTCTCGACGACTGGGATTTGGAATCAACTGTAACCAACAGTTCAATATACAGTTATAATTATGAATTCTATTTTTCGTCGTAACCTCTACATATTTTTTCAAATTTATTTAACTGCTGTTAAATATTCTCAAAAGCAAAAAAAGAAAAAGTGGATATTGCTCCTTCTGATCTTATTCTTAATTTTTGTCAATGCCGCCATATTTAAAACCTAAATGGTACAGCCTTTCTGTAACAGTAGCTAGCCTAGTCAATTAACAGAGTGTACGTACGTGGACCTCGTTGCCTGCGTTTGTGGCCAGGCATGCCCTTGTCATCGGCACTTGTGTAACCATTGGACAGGAGACGTTGCAGTGCCTCGTCATTCTGAGCATCTTTGGACTTTGACTTGGAGCTGGAGAAATTTTCGGTCTGAAATATATAAAGTAACAAACTGTGAAACATTGATACTTAACAACATGGTGGTGTCATGGCTTATAAAATGTATTTTATAGAAAAACAACAACAAAGCAAATATTTGAAGGAAAAATAAACCTTTTTAAGAACCAAGAAACTTCCAAATTCTGATCACAGTTTTTTTTTAAATACCCTTCTTTTTTAATCACATCTATATTTTTCATTTTATCATGTACAATCTTTGAACACCCTTCACCTCTACTCCCTCAAAGAAATGTTTTTGTGGTACATACATCTACAATCATCTTGCCCCGCGTCTTCTTCCTCTCTCTCTGATTGGCTTTCTTCTGTAGCTGCTGAATGACCTTCTCTCGCGTCGTCCGGTACTCTAGGGCAAACTCACTAATGGTTTTACAGAAGGAGTTCACCTTGAGATCCCGCGCACTCGACAGGGGAAGACCCATGTACAAAAGTAACTTGTTATACCTGTAAAATACATCATCATTCAGAGGTCAATCGCTCTTGACTATAAGCTGTATTAATGGTCTTTTACATCAACTGTGACAAGCGGTCAAGTATCTTTTCGGTTTCTCTAGTATTTCTTGTTGAACCATATTCATTCTTGAGTACACAAGTACATACATTGATTACTATTTCATTCTTTTAAGATAATTTTACATTAGTCCTCCTTGAATCAAGTGTCAATTTTCGCCTTTTTCCTCATCCCTATTAATAAGGGCAAATTTATCATTATAGCGAATATAAGTAAACAGCACAATATACAAAGTTTTTAGATGTTAAGGGCGAAACTAACATCAAGCGAAGATTTATTTAATGAGCAAAGGGCAAAAGTTTTACTGGGCAAAAATTTCCTTAATTGTGCTTAATAAACAGGAAACACAAAACTTACCTTTGCATGACCCGTTTATGGACAATTTTTAAAATCATAATTCTTTCTGCTGCATCTGAAAGAAATTCTGACAACCTGAAAAGAGAAAATAAATCAAATTCCAGTTGCTATACTAATCATGAATTCTTCCTTTTAATCCATCAATTTAAAATCAACCTAAACAGATTATTCCATAAAATGTATGTTTAAAGATACATACTTTCTATTTAATACAGTGTACAATGTCTCAACTGAACACCCTGGTAATTTGGACAGTTGTAATAATGGAACTCTTCAATGTTATCTCTTTATGCTAGTGCTAACCCATAGACTAATAATGATCCCTAAAATTTTGTATCTTCAAAAGTTTGCAGAGAGTTCTTCAAGATTGTAGAGACTCTACCTTTTATATATTGTCATAAAAAGTTTAGATGGCAATCCTGATGGAGAGGTCAGTTACGACAGAATGTACTGTACATACTGGTACCCCTACACTTACGTTATATACGATAATAATAATATACAACATTTGATATAGCGCCTTATCTAGCTAACATAAGCCACTCGAAAGCACTTTACAGTACATAGATATACAATTTATACAATTAGGATATACAATTTTTGAGAAATTCGCAGGAACTACCTTATCAGACGCTAACTACTAGTCCTATGCCACCTGGCTAATATCTCCCTATGTGCTGGAGATGTCTTGTTGACATACCAGCATAAACGTGGTGCTACATTGACAGCTACTCTATACCAGATCTATATATTCAGTGGTGCCTTAACTCCTATTTCTATTTCATTCCTGTACTTACTTTGTTTTTATACTTGAATTTGAACTCCCGTCATGTTTTATGATTGCACGTAAATGATCCCATGATCCTTTGCACTCGTGTTCCATCTTTTCAAGCTTACAGCCAAGCTCATCCCAGTCCACCTATACACAGAGGTTAAATGTTTAGTGTCTTAATCAACTATACATCAATATATCATTGCAATTCTTTGCTCTTTTGTCTGGCCACTTGAAATCTACAGATTCTAACTGACACAAGACAAACAGATTGTACATAACACAACTCAAATCCATCATGAACTACTTTCTAAATAAAACATTTATAGTATAGAAAGGTAGGCACCTGTTTTGTAACAAAAACCATTTTATATATATAAACATGTATCTTTAACTGTGATTTTACATTAAAAAATTCACAAAACAGGAACTATGACACTCAGATAAATGTATAGTTGAATTCTTCAATGTAATCTCTTCATTCTAGTGTTAACCCATATTCTAGTATTGACAGATGAAATTCTTTAACAGAAATCTCAATCCATCTGAATGTGCCGCGGTCAGGGTCAAGGTCAAGTGACCTCTAGTTGAACCAATCAGAGGCGCGCTGGCAAAAGTTTGCCAGCGAATCGGAATATCATGGTTCATAGATATATAGCGAGGAGTATCGAACAGATTAGTTTTCCAAAACAAATATGGCGGCGGGAACTGACATTTCTACGACGCCAAGGAAAACGTACCCATTGGGTAATAATTGCGTAGGCAACACTGCCATACAGTCTTTCTTCTCTAATAAAGCTTTGAATATCTTTTTCTGTTCGGGTTTCAGACGATCAATCTCAATAACTTCAGAACTTTCGCATCATTCTCATTAATGTCAGACATATTTGTTACAACTCCGAGCACCCTTTTGAAAGAGGGTCTCTGATTGGTCAAAATTTAATGATTATTTATAAATATAAAGGTCACCTGAACGTGACCCTGACCGCGGCACACTCAGATGTTCAGGCGTAGTACGAAGTTAACGAAGCCATGTAACATATGATTTTAATCAGATTGCAGAAATCTAAGAAATGAAGTGTCCAGACAATGGGAATAAACAGTATACATTGCTGGATGTCCCTGTATGTGTACAGTGACAACTCGTTAGTGGATGGAGGGGATTCTACTATAGAGGGCACTGAATATGACATAAACTTACCCGTGAACACCGGCCCAGGGCTCCAATGTCTGAGTAGAGATCTGTACTGTCAGGGAACTGGTCGATGATGATGACACATAGATGGTGCAGGAGGGAGTGTTTGTGGACGGTGTCCTTCACCTCAGGAATCTTGGTCAGATACTCTATACTGAATCCTCTCGCCTGCAACACAAACAACAAACTCATGGTATAAACAAACTAACTTACTATTTAGTTCCTGTTATGTACAAGCTTTACACAGCTGCAACATTTAGGATAAAAACAAAATTATGACTTTTTTTCAAGTAAGCAGATTAGTTTTACAATTTTTTGAAAATTGGCAATGTACAGTAATACTGAACTTTCTAATAGTTTTAAAAACTCTGTGCCCTGTTCTTGGCTTCTGAATTCTGAATGAAAGTTCATACCTGAGCACCGTTGAGGAAGTTTCCGATAGTCAATATCACAGACAGGATGTATTTAAAGGTTTTGTTCTTCAGTAGCTCCTCAATGCCCTTCTTCAGATCACTCAGGGGCTCTGCAACTTCCTGTGTTTGAAAAAGCAGATAGACCATTATTCAGAAAATAAATGATGTAGATTAGTTACTACTTCATAGACATGGTAGAATAGTCAAAAGGGGAGACAACTCCTTACATATCAGTCAAATTTGAAGATGATTTTCAAATTTGAAAAATTCACACAAGAGGAATTATAATCATGTACATGTATGGACTGATACGACCATTCCTAGTTGAAAGGGGAGGCAACTACTCACTGATTCCACTGTCTCGTAGTCAAGTTTAAAGAGCCAGAGGGAGAGCCTGGCCTGCAGTTCACTGATGGAGGACAATGTGAGGAGGAACTGTTCTGCTGTCCCCAGGGGTATATCAGGGTTCCCCATCTGGGCATCCAGGATCAGTGCCTTCTCCTCCTCTGTCGGCATCATAGAGGTCAGGATCTTCTGCAAACATTCAAACAGCAACAGTCAGTTTTATCTTTATTTTTACTGGATTGATTCATTTCATGCAGCATTTAATTTAAAATCTGATTGTAGTAAAAGACTTCTAAAATAACAAAAGATTCTAACATTTCAAATTTATGTAAACATATTGTATACCCATCTAAAAGAAATGGGTACAAGTTGTTTCCTGAGATTACATGATTTTCTGTAACGGATGGCTCTTTGCGTCACAGAAGGGTCAACATTCTTCTTTAAAATGAAACAATACACTTACCTCAATTCCTTCTCTGTTCATGATGGAGTTGTCCATCTTTAAGATGGCTGCCTTGATTGTCCGAGGAGGTGGTAATACTGTCAGACCAATATTGATGGCATTTGACCGTTTCGGAGAGAGTACAGAGATCTCTTTCTTTCCACTTGTATCAGTTTTCTGTAATGGAAGGTGATTAGTTACATAAAAGATTTGGGATGGAAGCGAGACGCTGAGTCATTAATTGAAGGGAGGGACTAGTACAGTCAGCTGATTAATAAGTAATTAATCTGCAATTAAAGGGAGACACCGGCAGTGAAATAACTTTCTCTAAGCATATGATAGGGTAGCGCAAATGGTCACTGGCAGGGAGGGGTGTTGGTACACTCCAAATCCACACTCTAGCTAGGGGACAAGCTGTCGCGGACTGGTGAACTTCTTAAAGCAAAAAAGCATCCACAAGTTGATACTGTCATATGGTCTAGGAAGGAAACTTCACGCTCAGTACCATATCTCAATCCTAGCTAACAATAGAACTCTTCACTGTAGGAGGTGTGGAAGGTGTCCAAACATTTGAGGTGAAATGAAAGTTAGTACAAAATGTGAACTGTGTTTTGATGAAAACATGCCATAACATAGAAGACAGCATTATTGGTCATCCACGCAAATTCCTGGCTGATTTAGTATCATTAGTTAAAAGTGTCAGTAATCATTCTATTTGTAGATTTTTTCATGCATTCTTGCTTTTTAAAATCACATTATTTATTGAAATTTTCAAATTGAAGACAGATTTGATTAATTCTATAAGTGAAATAAAGACCTTTTGCATGAGAACATTCAGATTTTCTTCTCTCAATTATTTGTTTAAAAGTCAAACATTAACTTACAATATTACAACAAGAGACTATACAACACATAGAAGACAATTATGAAAATGAACCACTTTAAAAATTACAGAAAATGATTAAATTTCCTAGAAATATAGTTTTCATCACAAGTCATAAAATGCCACAAATCAGGTTGGATGGAATTAGACTGCACCTGTTTCTAAAACAGAGCCCCAATTTGAAATCAATGTGTACAGTAGGAAAAACATCAAATATAATGGATGTCCAACTTTGAAATGATCAAAATGTTACTTTTCATATATTTGAACAAAGGAGTAAGAAAATAAAACTGTGTGACTGATAATTAAAATGACCAGAAATAAGGAAATGTTCAATACCTGTCAAACCTCACTTGAAATTAAATAACAACATCTTTGACTATTACAGATCGAGAATTTCAAAATTCCATCCAACCTATGATAAGCACACATGAACATACGGCGATATGCAGATCTTACCAATTCCTGTTTGTGCATTGTAAACAAAAATGGCAACACACATGCAATAGCCATTCATATCAGATACACAGGCACCATCACGAAGTCAGCCGAGAATGTGCAGCATGGAAAGAAAAAGATGAGAATATTTTTGCATTAGTAAGTGTGTTCCTGCCACCTTGACATGAGTATTCTACATTAACACATTGACAGTGAGCTCCTGTGTACACGTCACAGAACAAAAAAGACCGTTCCTTGAATCAAAGAAAAGTAAGCCCCTTACATCCTAAGAAAAAAGTATTTAACCAGTTGTCCAAGATGTTAGTCACCTTGCCTAGTTTTTTTAACGCAAGACAGTGAAAAGGTATTTCCTGTAATAGCTAACCCGTTCCAAATGTACCACAACCACAGATGTACTGCTGGTATATAATCATTCATTATTATACCATTTTGTATTGGCTATAGTATCAGTGTGTAACCAATTTTGATAAGTTACTATTGCCAATTATAGGAGAGAACAGTTATTTTTGCTGTACATCATGTAGAAATTACTGATAAATTGATTTATTCTTTTCCTGAATCAGCATAAACTCACAAATACGGAACCAAATGGAGATACCGAGATGATGGATAAAATAAGATACAAATTGACGGGGAAAATGACCAGAAACACAACAAATATAAATATGGTAAACAAAACAATGTACATGTATAACAATGTATAACAAATCAAATGTCATCCCAAATCTACTATACAACAAAAGTTAATCATAACAAGTGTCTTAGGTTTCATTGCCAAATGTTCATCGCAGCTTCATTTCATAATTATATATCTATTTGTTTCCTAAGGATGTTGTTAAACGGATACTTTGCTCATATGGTCTTTTATATTGTTAACAGATAAAAGGGCCTTATATCATATTGATACCCACTTATTTTCTTATCAGTCAAAAATGAAAAACTCATATTTTAAGTTTAGTATAAATGAACACCAACAACAAGTGTTCTTTTAGTTGGTGTCTGAAATTTGAGTGAAAAGCTGATCATACGTGATGAACACTTGAACATGAAAAATGGCACATTAATATAAAACATAGTAAGAAAAATAACCAAATAGAACATCTAGATTATCTAACAAGCCAATCAATGAAAATGATGAATGATGGGATCCGTCACATGATCATGAAATTTCAACGACACATATTTAGCTAAACATTTCTGAAAACAGAAGTATTTTTAACATATGAAATAAGCATATGATGAACATCTAGAAAAGCTCTATGTACAAGCATGTATTTGTCTAATGACTGTGAAGGAAATAGCATTAATATTCCTGACATAAATTTCTATTGATCTAGAAAAGCAGCAACCAAAACCGAAAAAAATATGAATTCTTGAAGTAAAACAAATATATATTCTACTTTGTATCGGTAAAACCTAGAGATTTTATTCCATCAAATTGAAACTGATATGAAAAATTCCCGACTTGTGTACAAATGCTGTAACCAAGTATTCAGCACTGACCTTTTGTTTCATGTCTGATGCTCTTGTCTCAAACAGATGTTCCAGCTTGTCAGGATCAACCTTGACCTCTACAATGTCTTTCCAGATTGTCTCCCCTTTGGTTGACGGATGTGGCATCTCGGGTTGAACCATTCTCCAGTGGAGTTTCAGGGTCTTTTTCTTCTTTTTCAGAGTAGCACCAGGGGGAGGAGGCAGGTTTACATTTACACCAGGGGCTTGCATTGGACTGCCCATCATCCCTGGGGGAGGAGGTGGGGGTGGGGCACCTGGTGGGGGTGGAGGAGGTGGGGGCAACCCCATACCAGGAGGAGGGGGAGGAGGTGGGGGCAACCCCATACCAGGCATTGGAGGGGGTGGAGGAGGACAACCACCCATACCCATGCCTATTGGGGCCGTAGAGCCGAACACATCACAGTCATCTTCATCGTTGAGATCTGTAAAGTCTAAATCTTTTATTTTTAACGGTCTTTTTAACCGTTTACACATCTTGTCCCATTGTAGGTCACTTTCAGTTAATTTCACTTCTGGGGAAGAGGTAGGAGTTTGGGTAGGTTTGGGTGGTTCCTTGGCAACAGTTTGCCGTGATAGTTCACCCTTAGCCTTACTGATAAGTCCACTGAGATCACCTGTGGGGCGTGATAGCTCTTTCGGCCCAGTTTCTGCTTCACCATTTTCCGTAAAGCGGCTAATATTAGTTGTTACATTGTCTTTATCCTCAGCATCAAAACCTTCGACAGGCATTCGCTGTATTGCATTACCGATGTGGCCTTGCTGCAGGTTTTCCTTTCGCTGAGACAAGCTATCACCTTTGAGTGACGGATGTCGTTTGAGCACGCCCGGGTCATTTTCGGGCTGAGGTTCGGGTGACTTGTCCGTAGTCTCCTCTTTCTTTGTCTGTAAATATTTGGCCCAGCGACTGTTACTTGAGTTATTGCCTGGTGGTCCCGTGGGGGACACTGAATTACTCAGGCTGTCATTAATAACATTGTTTCTAGACTCGAACCCATTCTGACTTTGGGACAAATCACCGTTACTAAGGTAACCAGACTCCTTGGAGTAACCGTTCCTGATCTGTTGTTGGTCATCTGAAGACAAAAACGTCAAAAAGTTTATATATATATACATATATATCAAGAAAAGTTATACCTAGTTAAACTCTCACCATAAGTATAACTGTGAAACATGTAGATAGTAATTAATTTTTATGGAAGTTTGGTCAAGTGAATTTAAATGCTCTGCAAGTTAATAGTTAAATATCCCCTTGAACATACAGTGGAGTGCTCCAGAGGCCCACACCAGTCAGTCTTTACATCTCCATCATTTCCGTGTGGTAAGTAAAGTTAACACAACTGCACCTATTTATGTTCATTTTCATAACTGTATTTTCCTCTTGTTTTTATATAAACACCAATTACAAAGAAACAGGAGATGCTACGTCTAAACTATCTGTCAGTCCTATTGTTTGGCCCTGCACTAGCTTTTCACATCACAGCTCTACCTTGTTGTCATGAAAACCTAATCTACAGCATATTGAAATTGCGATAAAATAGATGCTGACATTTTGCTTGAAGATTAGAATCGTTAGATGAGCTATACAAACATTAAGAAAGTTTTAAAAACAAAATATTTACAGGTTATCAAAAATTTCATAATCTAATATTCATAAAAACTTTTTTTTAATAAACATACAGCAACAGATTCATTCTAGATTGATATTCCATGTGAAAACGACCTCAAATGATTACAGAGCACTTACTTACAGGATCTCAATTTAACAAGTTTCCATTACAAACGACTTTTCTAAATGTGTTTCATAAAGTTTTTAAAAGTCTTATAGGATGGAAACGGGTATGAGATTCTTTTGGTCATATGCTCAACCAAAGCATATTCAATTGCATATTTTGTAAATATTTAGACTGAAAAAAAAAGAAAACATTACTAGCTGTGTTTTTCCAGACTTTATGATGTCGTTCTTTTGTTTATGCAATAATGATATAATTATACACTGCATAGAAACAGCAGAGTTGGATATATTGCTAAGTCTACACTAGCTATAAAATGTTTTGCATATATTAAAAGCTCAAGCGAAACATGACCTGAAAATGAAATATATTGTAATAATATGACCTAATGATTCTTAAATATATTGCAATAATATGACCTAATGATTCTTAGATATATTGTAATAATATGACCTAATGATTCTTAAATATAGTGTAATAATATGACCTAATGATTCTTAGATATATTGTAATAATATGACCTAATGTTTCTTAAATATATTGTAATAATATGTCCTAATGATTCTTAAATATATTGGAATAATATGACCTAATGATTCTTAAATAGATTGTAATAATATGACCTAATGAATCTTAAATATATTGTAATAATATGTCCTAATGATTCTTAAATATATTGTAATAATATGTCCTAATGATTCTTAAATATATTGAAATAATATGACCTAATGATTCTTAGATATATTGTAATAATATGACCTAATGAATCTTAAATATATTGTAATAATATGATCTAATGATTCTTAAATATATTGTAATAATATGATCTAATGATTCTTAAATATATTGTAATTATATGACCTAATGATTCTTAAATATATTGGAATAATATGACCTAATGATTCTTAAATAAATTGTAATAATATGACCTAATGATTCTTAAATATATTGAAATAATATGACCTAATGATTCTTAAATATATTGCAATAATATGACCTAATGATTCTTAGATATATTGTAATAATATGACCTAATGTTTCTTAAATATATTGTAATAATATGATCTAATGATTCTTAAATATATTGTAATAATATGTCCTAATGATTCTTAAATATATTGGAATAATATGACCTAATGATTCTTAAATAGATTGTAATAATATGACCTAATGATTCTTAAATATACTGTAATAATATGACCTAATGATTCTTAGATATATTGTAATAATATGACCTAATGTTTCTTAAATATATTGTAATAATATGTCCTAATGATTCTTAAATATATTGGAATAATATGACCTAATGATTCTTAAATACATTGTAATAATATGACCTAATGATTCTTAGATATATTGTAATAATATGACCTAATGAATCTTAAATATATTGTAATAATATGTCCTAATGATTCTTAAATATATTGAAATAATATGACCTAATGATTCTTAAATACATTGTAATAATATGACCTAATGAATCTTAAATATATTGTAATAATATGTCCTAATGATTCTTAAATATATTGTAATAATATGACCTAATGTTTCTTAAATATATTGTAATAATATGAACTAATGATTCTTAAATATATTGTAATTATATGACCTAATGATTCTTAAATATAGTGTAATAATATGACCTAATGATTCTTAGATATATTGTAATAATATGACCTAATGTTTCTTAAATATATTGTAATAATATGTCCTAATGATTCTTAAATATATTGAAATAATATGACCTAATGATTCTTAAATAAATTGTAATAATATGACCTAATGATTCTTAAATACATTGTAATAATATGACCTAATGATTCTTAAATAAATTGTAATAATATGACCTAATGAATCTTAAATATATTGTAATAATATGACCTAATGTTTCTTAAATATATTGTAATAATATGAACTAATGATTCTTAAATATATTGTAATAATATGTCCTAATGATTCTTAAATATATTGAAATAATATGACCTAATGATTCTTAGATATATTGTAATAATATGACCTAATGAATCTTAAATATATTGTAATAATATGTCCTAATGATTCTTAAATATATTGAAATAATATGACCTAATGATTCTTAAATATATTGTAATAATATGACCTAATGATTCTTAAATAAATGTGTTTTTTGCTGAATGAGGATCGCACAGTATTTGGAGGTTGATGAGGACCAATGAGGTTTGCACAGTTAAAATGGTCTGAATTAACACAGTTCCTCCCAGCTGCTGAAGCTGATGGAAGAGTGGGTGATGAGGGTGCCGTGATGTGATAAGTAAAGTGAGGGCCCTACGGTATTCCTGACCAGGGACAGTGATTGTGTACAATGTACCACTACTAATTGTGCTCGATGAAGCAGAACTGGACACAGATGATCGATCGCCAGCATGATTGCGCCCTTGAAATCGCTGTCGTATTCGTTCTAACTCCTGCTCTTTCACAAACGACTTCTGTCTTTCCCGCCGGTCTCTCCGCGTGCGAGGAACATCTGTGGGCAAACATGCCATCGGGTTAGTAAGGCACACAGAGAAACTCAAGTCACATGTCACTGCTAATGCCACTGTTGCTAGGCTACCCCATGTTATGAATGATAAAGTTCACACAGTGCTCAATCAATCAGGAAGGAGAAGATCAGAAGAAACATTGCAAGTTAGATAGAGGACATGTAACAAGGCACTGTTGATAGGAAGGCAATTTAACAGCAACATAACATTGGGCTTTGATCACAACCTAATGCACAAATAAATCCTTTAGATTTCCTCATATTTCTATCACATACTCAATCCTGAGTAAAATTTAGACAATAATCATTATATTTCCTATTTATGACCAAAAATTACATGTTCTCATTATCGAGTATATGAAAATAAAGAAAAAATAAAGAAAAAACATTCTGAATCCTTCTTTTTTACTTTTTTAAAGATTTGTTTTCACAAGTGTTACAATAAAATATTCAAAATAATAAGCTACTGATACTCCTAATTGTAGTACTAGATGTGATACATTGAAATATGAATTGATTTCTTTGGCCATTTGAATTTGAATGTTGCAATATGTTTTTATTTCTGTTTGTCACAGGTTGTGATCAACAAGCAACTGTAAGACATCAAGTGATGCTGAGGAGAAATGTACAGTGTTCACGACATGTGTTGGTGAACAAGTGACATTAAACAAAGTCAAGAAGGGACAAAACAATTAAATTAATTGTTATCATTCTTCAACAATTACATACATACAACCACATTTCCTCCGAATTTTCCAATTAGATTTTGTTTAGAGCATCATACAAGTAGTTTAAGCATCAGATGAATAGCATCTTCATAATAACATGCATTAAACGAACCTGAATTTGCCGCAAAAAGGTAATTATTTGAAAAATAAGCATATATGTAATAAAGAAGATCATTCCACTGTAATCAAATGATTCATCAAAAGTTAATACAGGATCAACAGAAAGCAAATCATCTCAGCAGGCAACATTACCGATAAAACTGGCAGGGAAACAAAATCAAAACAGCATTCAATAACAAACAGGCCACCATAAAGAGGCCACGAGTTAAAAAATCCACAGATACCCCTCACAGGCGCTAGTGAATTATCATGGGGTTCACAGGCATCGGAGGGCAAGTCTTATAGGGCTCAAACAGGCGGTCTATGGTATATCCTGGGGATGGAACTAACAGGCACTCGAGGGCTATGTTATATCTCGAGGGCTAATTGGCACTCAAGGAAAAACTCTGGTCTGCATCCACTGGGTTCGCATGACAACAAACTTAAAATATTGTACGAACCTAATGAATCAGATTTTTCATTTTGCCAATCCGATTCACCTGAAAGCTTTGAAGCAGTCTCGTATGTGGCTGCAAGCTCTGCTGTCTCAAACTCTCGGATACCTCTAATTTGAGTATCCGATTCATCTGAAAGCTTAGAAGCAGTCTCGTATGGGGCTGCAAGCTCTGCGGTCTCAAACTCTCGGATTCCTCTAATTTGAGTATCCGATTCATCTGAAAGCTTAGAAGCAGTCTCGTATGTGGCTGCAAGCTCTGCTGTCTCAAACTCTCGGATACCTCCAATTTGAGTATCCGATTCACCTGAAAGCTTAGAAGCAGTCTCGTATGTGTCTGCAAGCTCTGCTGTCTCAAACTCTCGGATACCTCCAATTTGAGTATCCGATTCATCTGAAAGCCTACAAGCGGATTGGGTGCGGGGCGATAATTCATCTGGCTCATACTCTTGTATACTTTCTAGCTGCGAAGCCGATTCATCTGAAAGCTGTGAAGCAATCTGCGAAAAGCTGGCTAGCTCGTCTTTCAAATAATCAGGAATATTTTCACTCATAGAATCTGAATCAGAGGAAAGCTTACATGCTGACTGTATGTTGGGTGAGAGTTCAGCTGTGCCATTGACTTGAACGTTTTGAGGCATTCCTAGCTTATCGGGCGGTCTAGCCTCCTCTACTGTTTGTTGTAGTTCATCAAGCTTTTGCCGTCGCCGTCTTTGTTCTGGAAGTTTATCGTGTTGTTCTTCTGGCATTAATAGGAAGTTCCTGCAGATAATGAAAGCTTTAACTAAACAAAATCCTTTTATTTTTTTACTAAACAAAATCCTTTTATTTTTTTTGATTTGTAAGATTATTTTTACAAACTACATACTTAAACATGTCCACACATTGATATCATAAATGTGTCTTTAAAAAAAACAAAAACCAGTGTTACCACATTACATAATAATGGTGATGATACATTGCATTAACCATTAACATCATCCATCAATTAATAAACCAGTAAATACATTTCATCAATCATTAAAACATTGCATTATTGTGTTGCCTGCCCCCTACTGACAGTCATGTTGGTTTTCAGACTGGTATAAAAATCAGACTTGAGTAGGTAATTGATACTATAGACATCCGAAGAAAGAGGAGAGTTTCTACAATACCAAAGCATGCCTTCATAGGTAATCACACAAAAACCATGTGAATGGTTTTTTTAACAAAATCCAGGATGGCTTCTGGTGCCATGCTGATTTTCAGATTTTGTTCAAAATTAAGCTTTGACTGAGTAATAGAGACCAGGTTTCTATGATAATCATTTTGGCTTCGTTCCTTTGCATCTAATGTAATACAATCAGAACAAGAGAATGGATCGGCCCTACTTATGGCTTCAGTTGATCACAATATAACCAACTTACTCCTTTGACTTTTGTTTGACCTTCATGTACTCGTTGGCCGGATCGATCTCCTCTGCGGGTAGAGCTGGTGCACTCTTGGACTTGTTCATCTTCTTGGGACCTGTTCCCATGGAGAAGCGACGACTTTTCCTCACGCTGTCCTGGTCACTCTTTATTCTTGGTGTCCGTCTGTCGCACACAAACATTATTTGAGTTAATATGTTCAGCATTGTATCGATAAGAAATTTTGGAAGACACTGAGATACTAAAATATCCAACATTCTTCTGTCAAATTACTTGTTTTTGTTTGTAAAAGTCTTCTGTCAAATTACTTGTTTTTGTTTGTAAAAGTCTTCTGTCAAATTACTTGTTTTTGTTTGTAAAAGTCTTCTGTCAAATTACTTGTTTTTGTTTGTAAAAGTCTTCATAAGAACTAAGTGACAAATGCACTCTCTGTATTGACACATGTAAAGTCTGTTTGACAAATACAACCTGTTGACATCTCTGATTTAGTGTTTTTTTCGATGAGTAAATCAATATTACAATAATCAACATGTAGACAACTTTCTAGATGTTACTCTCTGTTTAAATTTTCCAACTTCCTACAATGAATCGGAGCATGAGTCAGAAATTGTCACTTATTTTATTTGAGCCTCAAAACTTGTACAAACCTTAAACTGTCTAACTGTGACAGGTCTGCATCTTCTTCTTCTCCATCTTCATAACGCAGGGCCGCCTGTAATTTATACGAATAACGTCACTAACCTAAATCTGTTTTAATCTGAATCACTACACTTTAGTCTAATTACATATAGAAGTACAAATGCAAAAACGAATACATTAGTCATGAGAAATTTATACTTCAAAATTTTAATTGAAACAAGACAATTATGTATGCTGGTTTGAAAATCAGTAAAAGATCGAACATCCTACCTCGTACACCTGGAACTGTGTGAGGAGGTCAAGGTCAGCACCATTCCTGTTCATGTAGATACGTGTGATCTGTTCCATTCCTAGTTCTTCTAGCGCATCCGTAACATCGTAGAATGTGTCTTGATCAGGGATAGCATTCAGCACCTGTGGGTGGGGGAACATACAAGGATATTTCTACATGCTGGCCTACATAACATCCAACCTGTACACCACTGTCAATGTACTCTTTGAGTAACAAGTATTGTGCAATATATAAATTCATAAATATAAACACTGACACTAATCATTTATTCAAAAGAACAGATGACCAGACAACATCAAACGGGGCATCTCGGCAAATTTAATCCAGTTTATCATATAATATCAACATGGAAATTAAACAGCAAAAACTACTCATCAAAATTGCAATTGAGAAAATAAAAAGTACAACAGGGTTATATAAAAACTTGCTGTTATCATTTTTATATGAACTACAAAGACTAACAGACTGAGAACCATCTTCGACTAATCAATCACAATTTGTTTTTCCACTAAGGGAGATAACTCCACCATGCCTACCTTATTAAGCAGTGTCATGGAGTATATGAGAAGTTCTGTGTCCCCGCCATCTTTCTCATCAAGGATTCCAATTATGTTTGTCCATGGCAGAGAGCCTAAGGGAAGAACAAAATCCACATTTCAGTGTAATCTCATTAATGCTCCAGCAGCATATATAAACAATGGCAACCAATGGAATCTAAAATATCACAACAGATTAGCCAAATTAAACTGGACTGGACTGATGAATTTTACTGTACAGTACTACTTCAATATGATGTGGTCGTTTCAAGTGCTTCCTAATTTATCATATGGCTCCCTAACAGTTCACCAAACCCCTAATAATTCCTAAATAATGCAGGGGACATTTGTAGAAGTTAACAAGGCTTAAGTGAATATTATGTAGGAACAAGTAATTTTTGTTCAAAATTATTTTTTGTTTGTGGTTTACCGTCCTTGCAACAGCCAGTGTCATATGAGGAGGAGAGAAAAAATTAACACAATTACGTCTTTTTTCTGTGTGTGAATGTTATATATTGATTTGGGTTTTTAAAGCAAGGTTTCAGAAATTACCCAGACAAACAAACAGCTCACTTATCGTAAAATGTACACCCTTACAGTGAGATATCTATCTTCTATACAAAGGTGCTTCCTGATAAATATTCCCAACACACCCCTATAGAAAGGTATCTACAGAAATAACTCCTAGAACAAAGCACTTCATAAACTTGTCGTCAACAACAGGATCAATAGGGATTAAAAATACCTTAAATTTTTAACATTTTTGACCACTTATGAGTTCACAAACATTGGGAGTTGTTAATTTCCATTGAGTGATAAGATTGAATGGATAAAAGTCTGCCAGTATTGAGTAGTCGTGCCCATCATTCTGTGACATACACACCATACCAATGCTAAATTTAGACAAGTCAATGTACTGTTCACTGTCTGAGGAACGTATATTTATGGAAACATTTAAAAAGTGGACAATAACTGCACACTTGAGCTCCAGTCTGGTATTCAGGGTGTCAGCTGATACAAATGTGTGTAAAGCTGATGATTAAACCTTTGTTTTATGTAAACCCAGGCCATTGTCCTTCAGAAGTACAGACATTGTTTCCGACTAAGGACGCGTGGCCAGATGGTGTCATAGATTTAGCCCTGAAATTCCATATGATTGTAAGGACATTTCTGTGGACCAATACGTAGCTAATTACAGCCACATTAATGACAATTCTACAAATCCATTCACAAGATCAGCTGTGTTTAATGTGTACCTGTTCTAATTTTAATTGGAACTCATAGCTGTTTTATAGTTAGCCCCCAGGTCATTACACGATATCTGCTGATCAAATTAGGCCAATGACATTGTCAGATGATCTATATAACTAACAGACAGTTGTCTGGGAATCGTAGAGGTACGACCACCCGAGGGATGTAAAGGTGTGCGACCAGGCATGATGGTAGAGATCACACCTGACACGGAACGCGATCAGAGCACGATCACCCCGGGCTGTACCAGTTATCCCTAAGGTTCGGCTGAAGGGTCCAGTTACATCGGTCAGACAATTGGTATTTAAATCACTATCAGGTACTGTGAAGATGGATAACATCATGTTGACAAAGTTAACAACCACTTGACATTACAATGAGAAGTTGTTGAGATGTCACATCTGATCCTTAATCTAGTTTGTGTGGACAGTTTACAATTCAACAAGACTGCCATGTCAAATTTGATTTCATCTCTTCAAGTTTTCGTATGTGTATGGTTTACAATAGAACTTCAAAAAGTTGAGATGTCAAATTCAGCTTTCAACAGTTAACAATATAAACAACAATTGTCCTGAATTTTTTGACACAGATTTCATCTGTCCTTGTTTACACAGATCTAATTGTCAGGTGATTTTGATGTCTTTTCACAATGGTACTTAAAATTCTTCATGCAGCGGATGTGTGTACCTTGTACATTTGGGGCTAAATCAAACATCTCTATGTAAATATTTATGTAGGTTGGAGATACCTGAACCGATCAACAGAGCAAATATCAGTAGAATCGGATACATCCTGTCTTATCTCCGTGGTAAATCAGGAGGAACCAGTTTTAAAATAGCAACTCTGATGTTTGAGGGGTAAAATTAGAAACCATTTGTAGATAGTAATCTTGGCATGAAGTCATGATGGCCATACAGCAACAACTGAGAGCATTTAAATCTATGGAGCAGAGCTGCTTAATATCAAAACACGGGTGTTGTTGGCATGTTATTACGTAACATTAAGGAAGTTTGTCGGTTCATCAGATGATGTGTACTTTACACATTCATTACTAATTAGCAGAAAACTAGGTGGTAGTTTACACAAGGAAAAAGATCAATTTTGTGTTCATTAGCCTGATTAAATGTATGCCCCCAGTAAACTTGTAATTATTCCCTCTATAGCTATGATATAAAATCTAGTTCTCACACGTAACAATACACCTCTAGCCAGGCTTCTGTTGGCACTCTTCTTCAGAATAATTTTTTTCCCCCTGATTTTCTCATTTCATTAATGGTTCTAATTCATTAACCTAACCTGGATCGCTGTAATTTGTTTCCATGCCAACATCAATGGTGCAAAATTTTATTGTATTGTGACACCTATATACACCCTATACTAGTAGATGTAACTGTTCAACATCAGGTGACCCCATACCTATTCACCTCTGACTGGGGAATTGAATCCTGGCTGTTTTAGTTATTGACGAGGGCACTATTCAATGCACCACCCGACCACCATAAACATTATAACTAGGATCACTTACAACTAGGATCACACAAATTATATTTATGTTCCACTAAATTAAGAAATAATCTTAACTATTTCATCATATTCTATTTCACATCAATTTTTCTGAGTAAATTTCGTAATTTTTTTTACAGCAAACAATCAAATTTTTAATAAAATATCCGAATTCACATTACAGTATGGTGAATCAGCGAAAGTTTGTCGGTAAATAAATCACAGAGCATTGTCGTTCTGCTGTAGGCCATCAAACCACTTAGTGGTCATAAAAACAAATTACTGCGACAAACGTACATAGACATTTGACCTCATGTATTTATTCATATGCCATTTGCTACCTAATATCCTAAAATGGTATGCAAGCGTTCACTTGGTCTGACATTTTGTGCAGCGTTACTGAGTAAGGTTGCTGACACAATCCCCACAGTATACTTAGCGTAATGTACGTAATGTGACTGCTGATCTACTGATCTGGGGACGGGGATTAGGACCCCCCTATACTACTACGCTAGATAACAGGGGCTGCTGATCATAAACAAGCGCGGTGACAGTCAGGATGATTGGGGTGACTAATGGTATGATATCACAGTATAATGACGTACAGATTAAATTAATGACCTCTCTTCGTGTGTGTTCATACGCAACACATCAGCGAAAAGTACTAAATACAAGTTAGAACATTGTCCATGATTAAAAACCTATAGCGACAAAATCATATCGGAATCTAAATAAGTTTAAAACAAGAAATAGTGTCTGTTTAACATCATTTAATTATTTTATTGGTAACATTTTTCCAAACTTCAAAAACAGGATAAATGACATCCATAACACCTTGACACGTTAACACCTGGTGAAAGGTAGAAATGTAACACCTTTCTAGTGTACAGGTAACTTACTACAATAGGTAATTATGTGTATTGGAGCGAAATAAACACCAGCTCATAACCAGACTATTGTAATCCAATCCCCTTTATCAAAACATGAGCATTTACAGGGAGGTATCGTACAGAGCCAGAGACACTGGGAAACATTGCATGTCCCAATAGAAAGGGACGGTTTCAGGATGGCTGAGTATGTGATAGGCGACAATCACTTTGGGCTATTTTACATTGTATGGCTGGAGAGTTGTGAACAACACTTAGGTTGATTACTTTATTGGGCTATACTTTATTTACCTTGATGTATTCTCCTGATGGTCACGGCCAATTTCTACCTAAATTAATCTATCTGTAGACTGTGGGAAAATACCTAGTTTTTTATTCCTTACCTGTTACTGTTTGTATTTCTAAAGAAAGGCTAAAAGCGAGCATGGAGTATTAACCTTACTGTAACCTAACTGCACATACCATCTAGTGAAACTGTGATTCATTTCAGGACCATACTTTAAGGTGAAAAAATAAATTTAGTATTACATGGGCACATTAAAGTATAGTACACCCATCCCAATAAACAAAGTAAGCTATTTAAATGTGGTAAACCCTTCTAAGTGTCAAGGAAACTGTAACTTGTTGTCTGGAAAAGTTTGTACACCTGGGGCAAACACTCTGAAAATAATCTGTCTGATGCACATGCATAACTATGTATAATGGTGATAAACTCAACCAACTTTCACACAAAGTGTAAGGAGCCTGAAGGACACAAAGGGCAATAACTCTGTAACTAATAAATAAGTGGATCAATATGTCCATTACATTTGTACAACAACAAATGATGTTGGTGAACCATTCTAAACATCAAGGGAATCTAATGGATAGTGAGGAAGTGGTTGTTTAAAAGAACATAACAGATTTGACATGTGCAGAAACAATTCAAATTTTACTTATAACATACTAACTTCTGATGTATTTAATGAATCATATCTGGACTCTTCTGATCACATGTTACGACTAAATTCAGGGATCAAATTAAAGGGGTCTCACCTTGTTTGCGATCCACCTCATTTATGGCCTTCAAAAGTAGCATGGTGTTTGTTTCTGTATATTCCACGAACACAAGTAGCAGCTTCAGTGATGTCTTCACAACCAATCGAAACTGTGGATACAAAATTGTATAGTTTACACAACCAATCGAAACTGTGGATACAAAATTGTACAGTTTACACAACCAATCTAAACTGTGGATACAAAATTGTACGGTATACACAACCCGTTGAATTTGACCAAATAAACTAATAGCGTTCTGAAAAGAAACCAACAGCTGCGGGTGTATAATTTTAGATTTCCAAACAACCAATTATACAATGTCAAAACAATCATCATAGACTATAAATTTTGTTTACCACTATAATTAAAATATTGCAGACATAAAATCTGATATCCTTCTTGAAGTTTGCTTGAAGATGCTTTCAGCTCTTTTCAATTACAGATATAATGGGTTAATTACATAAACTTCAAGTATAAATGTTACCAAAATATTTAAATTAAGAACATTGTCATAAATGTACTTTAAAAATATCTGATGAAATACTGGTATGGAACTTTTGACAAATTTATGAGAAAATCCTAACGTATGTTGAAAGAAGGTTTTTCCTTCATCTTATAATATCATAAACAGTTTCAAGATACCTAAGCTAAATTTAAATCTGCTTCATTAACCTCTGGAAAATTGAATGCAGAAGTGAAAGTAGATCAATTTATAAGTTCACATAATCGCCTGAAGAGCCCCAGGATGGGCGAAAGCGCTAGCTGATTATACTAGTCTTGGTGTTTTGCTCTATTTATGAGTTCACATAGATATTTATAGCCAAAATGCCAACCTATCTATAACGTTTACATGTAAAGTAAATCCCGGCATTCTGTATTCTTTAATGACTATTTTCTCAAATAGGAATAAAATCTTTACCAGAAGTAATAGTTGAGCTGTATATAACCCCATGTAGCTATTTCAAGTCACAATTCTAACTTATCTTTTTGTAATTTTTTATCTATAATGCTTACATGTAAAGTAAATCCTGGCATTCTGTATTCTTTTACGTACATTTTTCTTTACATATGAATGAATTTTCACAACCCAAAAAATATAAATAAAGTGTCACATCAGCCTAGCCTGCTAGTGATGTGCAGTAAATATGATTTGTCTCGTCAATAAATAGCCATCGCATAATTTGTTTGTAAGTGGTACATCCGTTTTTATGTGGGAAAATGGGCCTAACTTTATGTTTCATACTAAATGGCATGTATTGTATGTAGGTAGTGTGTGGTATTGTTCTAGTCCTCTACACTTAAAATATATGATTCAGTGAATTACTCAAACAAACTTGCCTCTATCCTGTCATTTGCCTAGTCCAAAAATAGCATTTATGAATTGGTTTCAATATGTGATTGAATTCTGTATGTAATTTTAATCATTACCCGATAGCACCAACAACAGATTTTTCAGTAATTAACGTACAAAATTACAGTGATTTGTTCAATAAAACAACTTTTTTTCTTTGGCATAAACAGTTATCTTAGTTCATTAAGGCGTGTTAATTTGGAGGAAGACTGGGAGACCTCTAGAGCACCTGTTATTACAATGGCACAGAACTTTACTAGGTACAGTACATGATGTATGACATATTCTAGCTACTCGTCAATACCTGTTATCGAGATAACGAGATAATCAGTAGGGCTGATGACAATGGGAGAAATTTGGAATAGCTGTAGGAGTTGTCGTGACAACGCTTCGTCATAAAAACCTCAGACGGAGGTTGACACCTCACTGGAGCCTAGGGGTATCAGCAACCTGTGGTCTACTGCGGAAAGCACACTTAATACTAGATGCTGGGAAGATGCCAGCTACTTGACTCTACATCAACTACAGAGCTGACCTAATTAGCATGCACCTGTACAGGTTAGGGCGATAGGAAGGAGGACTACCCGGGGTTAATGTAGAGGGCAGGTCAATCTACTTAATTCTGTATGCTACAGTACAGAGTAATGAGTCTGAATTTCCTGTTTGATGTCCCAGTAGAAAATGAGGATTTGAGCTTGTTTCTATTTATACTGACAGTCAATACGGAAACACTAGTTTACACATAGCATCACTAGCATCCCAGCATCCTCATCTCTTATTCCAGTCAAATGACCTTTCTACATAAGCTATCATCAATGCTACTCTGACTTACATCTTGATTTGCATTGAAATCTTTTAATTTTTTGCAACAAAATGTTTTAACTTTTAAAAAAATTGCTTATGGAAATATTTAAAACTTAAACATAGGTTTTATGTTTATTTTAAATTACTGATTCGGCATATCTTTATATAGAGAGACAGGTGACAAAGAAGAGGAAAGAGTGGTGTATTTGTACCTTAGATGAGAGTAGGTTATAGAGCCACTGGATGGTAGCATTGTGACTGATAACTCCATTCATGCCGTCCACGTACAGCATCACCTGTCCCAGGGCTGCAAAACAAACGTATTCAAAATATCAGGTACAACGTTACGTGACTCAAGGACATTATATCAAATCAGATTCAATATGATTTATGCAGAAGCCATGCTGGTAAGTATCTTTGATGCAATCATTTTTTGAAGTTGAATTAAAATAATTTCAGCAATTTGTATCTCCGATTCTGTTCAATTACTGGGTACATTTACTATCTAGTATAATAATATAACAAGTCGTTTAAAATTGATATTACACATGTCATATGTTATCTCACACTTTTCCTTTTAGCATTTCTAAGTGAACCTACATTAAATGGTATAAGTAGTCACTTTGGGTTGACTTATCAAAAATATGAATCATTTGAAGTAGTAAACTCTAAAGCCTTCGGATAAATATAATCAACTGTATAGTATTTATGAAAGTTTTGGGTCAGGAATGCCATTGATAACATATAGGTCAAGTCCTCAATAACTCAATACTGTCTGTTACAAGTAAAAGACTATTTCATCACCAGATCAGTTGCTATGCTAAGCTACTATAAATAGTACTTTTTGTAGATGCCTTTTTTTCTCTCTTTTTTGTTTTGCTTTCTGTCCTGTTAGAGGTCTTACAGATGACTTTTCTCATGACTGAATGAGTAAACAGTGACAGACATTAACTGGCATAAATAAGGGGTGAAATTGACACACTCCTACACTGTGTTTAATCCTTTCAAGTTGACTTGACCCCTCAGGGCTCAAGGGCTCTTACAAGTAGGTATTTATGTATAATTACTCACAAACCCTGACCATTACACCGTCCTCAGATTATAGTGTAATTCACAGGTAACAAACACCAGGTAAGCACCTTTTAGTCAGGTAATACTGTATTGTCAATAACTAGCTACATGTACTAGCTATTTAATGGACTTTGATTACAATGAAGTAATCTCCCTTTTTACAATGAAATATGACAAATTTCAACATAAAGTAGCATGACAAAAATCTATTATTTTTTCTATCTATATTTTGATGCTTGAATTGACTACTATATATCCAAAAAAGTAAGATTTTAAAAATGTGTTTGATTATCTGTTTAAAGAATGACTTTGTTAAAGATATTCCACATAGCTAGCTAATGTATTTCTCTCAAGATTACAATCCTAAATCACCATCCAGATTTGAAGTAATGATAAAGCAATAAAGCGAAGCAATCCCATTATATTGCCTGATTCATATGTGATTGTATTATTCTAGATGAAGGGGATGAAACTAAATATATAATGCAAACAGATGTTTGATTGCCATCATTGATTCAGATTACAGTATAAATCTGTCAAGGCAAGTCACAAAAAACGGATGCTAAATAAAGATATCCAGATTTAATGATACTTTTAATGAAAACTTCCACTCCTGGGAGATAACTCACCTCGTAAAATGTAGTTCTGGTAGTTCTGATCAGCCTCAGAACCGACCTTGATGAGGCAGTCAAGGCCATCATTGTTAACGAACTCATGGACAAGGTCTTTGTCGTCCTGGTAACATGAAAACAGTTCATTTCAACAGCCATATTTAAATGCCTTTGACATTTTTCATCATTTTTCTGTATCTATAAATTATATTGGTCAAAGGCCAGACTAATCAACCTTAACGAACAATAGATTCACACCTACAAAAGTATGTCAATAAAATTTAAAAGAATTTTTATTATTGTTCAATAGGGTACATAAATGTTACTAGGTATGTCGACCGCAATGGAGTCAGCTTTAGGCACATTAAAACGTTATAGAAATTTTTATACACAAAATGCTTTTACCTGTAGCAATAAAACAGAATGTCAATATTGTGATTTCAATCAATACTGAGTAGACATCAAATTGAACAATAGAAACACCTTACCTGGAAGATCTGCTTGAGGGAGAAGAGGGCTCTTCGTAGTTCTCTTCCATGGGAATTTAAAAGTTTTTCTGCAAACATATAGAAAAAAAAGAATTCACTTTAAATGTAACAAACAGAAGAGAACCGTGTTAGTGTGGATTAAGATGTAGAAAAATGATTTTTGTTAAAGTTTAATTACCAGGTACACAACTGTAGGGATAGATGCAGTATATGTTTTGCACCAAGTGACATATTTGATACACACACCTGCAGCCGGATGGTGTGAGAATAACCTACACATGTTTGATACTGTAAACATGGGGCCACTCACCACACTGTAACACTTATGTGGTACCACAACAAACCCCAGGCTCACTGTCAAAACATACATATACACTCATTACAGATGTACTAGTCTGTGGACTTAACATACACCAAGACATTTTTGCACTGTCAAATATCATCTAATTCACCATTAAAATCAGAATTTGCCAGGGTTAATTTCACATTGTATTTGCTATGTATGATATACTGCAAAGTCATATTTGTAGATATCATAAATATGCCCTCATTACAATTGAGACGATGAACATTATATATCTGGCTAGACTGGCCCCTAGCTGTCTCTACAATGTTAAATTTACTGAGAAAAAAAAATAAAAAAATATCACTTAGATGTCAGATTTCAAACTAAGAGGAGATTTCCAAAATCTTGGTAGCCAGTCTGTCCTTTGGTGAATAAATATTCCCGATACTTTGCATAATTTTGCCATTAAAAATAATTCTGCAAATGAAACGCTCAACATTAAAGATCTACCTTTGAGTTCCCTTACTGTAACATTTTGTAGAGGGTGCATTTGACAGGAAACATTACCATTGAGCACTATGAATTTAGAAGACGGGGCACTGAGAAGCTATATATATATATGCTTCAAGGCTTGGACATATCTTTGTAGTTGATTCTGATGAATAAGACTTGTATTTCTGTGTGCTAGTTGTTATGTTAGTTGTTTGACAGCAGCAATGATTAGGAGGCTGAAATGAAGCACCTTTGTGTTCTTTATATTTTGCATGATAGCTGCAGTGATCCCGAGACAAAGATGAGACATGGAACTTGTTTAACGTTCTGTAGGTTGTAGGCTGGCCTACACCACTGAAATCAGCTAACCCTATGTGGTTACTCCAATAAACAGGAATCTGGTGTTTATTCTACCCTCCACTGCCAATCTTACTGATAATCTTTACATGTATACAGACCTAGTTAGCTTTCAATCAACACCATGTCCTTCAGTTCAACTCAACTCAATGTCCTTCAGCTCAATAACAAAAAGTCTGTGATCAGATATTTTTAAATATACTCTCATAACCAACTGTTTTGTAGGAGTTCATTTTGCCCTTTTTTTTTTTTGCAGTCCCTCTTTTTGAAATGACAATATATAGGCAGATAGTCTTGATCAACCATTTGTTTTCAAAATCGAGTTATTTGTTAATATGGGTTGGTTCTTAGACATGACAGCACAATGGGGCAGAATTAGATAGCAAGTACAAATGTAACTTACTTATTGAAGACAGAAGTACATTTCAGTGTGGTATTCCATAACATACATTGTACTAGTAAATGTCTCGGGGATAGGAATTTGAAATGTTCCTATCAAGCTCTATAGAGTTAACCAGTCTTGACTATATAGTAGGAACCCTGAGATTATAAACACATCTGTTATGAAGTACAAGAGGTACTTTCATCCCTACTTGAGGCCATCAAGTCTACATCAAGGGTCATAGCAGGCAGTTAACACAAATTGGTCAATACACTTGGAGCAAGTGGACAAAGCACTGCCCATTATCACCTTCAGATGACCACTATTAAACCCTCCGGACTTCTAATAAATGGTCACAAAATCTGACCATTGGTCTACACAGTCAACATTATAGCGGGATGTGGTCATTACCTAGAATGTAGATAGGGCCGTATTATTAACACTCACTCAAGATTAGGAAACAAGTCACTGATAACAACAGGATATAGTCCTATACCGTTACAGCCAACACTGGTACAATAAACCAGTACAATACACTAGTAGATATCCACCGTGAAATATCTCCTAGATACAAGGTGCAAATAGAGCAGACTGAGTATTTAAAGGAGAAAAGTGGAAAGTTCACTATACCAGATCAAAAATGTCTCAAGAGCCAATATGTTCATTTTTCTGTCAAATTTATTCATTTGTTAAAAAGCCCAATGTTAACATGTCGTTGGAATTGGAAACTGAAGAAAACTAGAGTGATAGGGCAGGTGGCCCCTAGCCTATTCATGTCCCATTGGGGAATCAAGCCCCAATCGTCTTGGTGAAAGGCGAGTGCAGTTTCCACTCCCAGCCTGACCTGAACATGTACACACGTTCTGGCAGGATACAAACAAGCCAAATCCAATAAACCATGTTACATTTAGTTTCCAACACTCATTCTGAATAAGTATAGATCCCACACACCAAAGGGAGTTCCACTGCTATGCCACCTTAGCTATATTCTCTCAATTATTAGCACTGGTGGTCTTGCAGAACTATACATTTGTAACATAGAGACCACCAATTACAGGTTGTTTATAAGGGACGGTACATTTGTCTCAGCTCTCTTTGTTTGCTCTATTAATTTGTCATTAAATACAAAACATAATATATGCATTTCATATGAGAGAGTCAGTCTTCCAAAACCCCAATTCAGCATTAAGCATATATAATATCCAAGAGATTAGATTGATAGTTTACGTTAAGTCTAGCAAAGAAATGCAACAGCATGTTTTTGGGCTGTAGTATGTGATGGTATTTCCCTCCCCTGGATAGCCATCTTACCACAGCTGACTTCCAAGGAGAGCCTATGATAATTCCCCTGTAATTGGCTTCAACGAAACACGCCAAGTTAACCAACAGACCAAAATCTCTCCAAACCAAGAAGGAAACAGCGAATGATGTAAGGAGGATCAAGCAAAATTTGGAAGATATAAAAAAATAGTTTGGGGATTGAATACATGTTGTGCATCTTATGCACACTCCTAGACCATAAGTGTTAGGTATAGTAGGACTACCTGGCCTAGCTCCAAACATCAGTTAGAATGCTGTGTACTGAACTCTTTACAATAAGCACCCCATCATCATTTACTTGATGTAATGTCCCTCTGTTGATATTTTCCTCATTTATCTCACCAATATATAACTTTTTCGTAAATCCCTTAATACCCTAAAAAATTAAAAGCTGCTCATTTGTTATGAAAGTTAGCATTAAACCGTTCAAGGTACAAAATGAATGGTGATATCTTATATTAACCAGCTGCACATGAATGATGTACTATTTCTAAAATTTTGACCACAAATTGTTCTTTCAAACCCCAACCACCATCAGAATCTCACTGCAATACCACCACTACCCACATAAACTGATTTCACTATACCCGCCCACCTAAAAAATTTGGGTGATTTTTAGGATAATTATGGCATGTATATTGATATAAAAAGGTCCAATCAGATAACTGGTTACAGATCTAATGAGAGACCAAGCAGATTACTGGAAACTGACTTCAGTGTTAGGGACCAATTAAGCAGATTACTGGAAACTGACTTCAGTGTTAGGGACCAATTAGATAACTTGTTACAGATCTGATGACAGACCAATCAGATAACTTGTTACATCTTTAATGTTGATGGAGTGATAATGGGCTTCCTATCTGCATGGCTTTCATTGCCTGACGCACAGACAGTAGTGACTCCACATGTTTTTACATAACACACAAAAGAACAAACAATGACATCATTCCTCATTGTTGTGAGATTACTGAAGACACAACAAAAATAGGATGTAACCCCAGGGTCAGCTACCCAAAACAAGATAAAACGGATTGTATCGAGAAACGTAGATTAAATTACATCATCAATAGACGTAAAAAATAAACACCTCAAAGATAGTAAACAAACCAACTGCACGAAATCATGCCTGAATATAAAGCCACATGTAAACTAATAGCTTCGGCCCTAGTAGGTGTGCATGTGAAAAACTACTTATTCCAACTGACTTCCTAGCTAGGTCAACCTGTACTGTACATGTCTTTTAAAACGGCCAGGAAAAAAGATCAGGGCATTATAATGACTAGACAAATTACTCATAGACTTTGATTTTCAGAAGATACTTCTTTCTATTTAGGATGTTTAAAGAATATGGACATGTGGCTCATAAAAAAAATAAACTGTAACTGAAGTGATTTTAATTTTTTTGATTATTCCTCCCCCGAATAAAAAAAATCCATTCACATTTGAGAAACATAACATATATCTATCCTGCATGAAAATATTCCTCCTGCGTAGTAAACAAAGAGCCTATTGTATTGAGATGTGTGTGCCCATTGAAATGTTTGGCTGATGAAGATTAAAACATGTTCAGTAGAAAGGCGTCCTTTTGTGTATTATATTTGTGTCTAAAACAGTTCTGAGGGAAGTTTATATAAGTATACAGATCGAGGCCCAACAGAAGCTCTTGAGAAAAATCCGGATTGATGAAGTGTTTTCCGGAGACATTCACCCCTCAATTATTCAGGTAGAAGTTGAGGTATCCGTCCCATTTCCGTATGTTTCCCTATCGAACCCATCTCAGCCTTGAACCTCTCGACAAAATCCTCCTTGCATGAACACTGTGTCACATCAACAATAAGTACTTAACTGGTATACGCACATCTAATAGTCTTACTTGTATAACCAGAGCTTGTTTAATTTCTGTGGACTGCACACAGTTAAGTTTAAACATGTGTTAAGCTCTATTTCAAAGTTATGCTGAGATATTTCATTACTTGGTGTGTTTTTTAAAGATTTAAAAGTAGTTTTGGCCAAAGTAACTTAGTCTCCAACAGCTAAATAGGATCAATAATCAATGAGGATTAATTAAATATAATCAGAATTCTTAACCCAGTTTTATTTAAAAAGACATATTAAGAAAAAATAAATTAACTTTCCAAATGATGTAACAAACCTATGTATTGGTAAATTAACTATGTCCTAATAACTATAATAACTATAAACTTGGGTACTCCTGTACCATTACATAGAGC